TGTCTTCATGGACTCTGAGAGGGGATATTGCTTCCTGGCAGTGGTTTGGGTTGCTCTAAGACAGTACCAATACATAATCTTCAGTCACTTAAACATTAAATTCTTACCTGTGATTATGGAATAAAAGTTTGGTTTTCTCCTTCTTAAGGAACTTCACATATCAGCAAGAAGTCTGAGAAAGTGTTTTTATGCCAGAGATGAAATGGGATGGTGGGAAGCGAAGCCTTTTAATTCCTTGGAAGCATACTTAGTTTGCCACAAAGACATAACAGATTGGAAATATCTAGTACTTTATCATTCTATAATTCAACTGACAATTATATGACAATTAGTCTACTCCGTATACATTTATGTATATCCCTAAGATACACAGAATACATTATCTTTGCTCTCCAGGAACTCATGATCTAGTACAACTACAAACTTATAATAACAGAAGTAAGGATAAAGGGTTGTGTTAATGGATGATTAAGTCTGCCTCAGGGAGTCTGGGAAAGTTTCACAGAAGTAACATTGGATTGGGGTTTTGATGGATGAATAGGAGTTTACTAGGCAGATGAGGAATGTGAAAAGAACTAGGATTGAATGTGTGAGTCCTAAGAGGAATGCTGGTTGGATGTAGGAGCATAGGGTGCAGAGATTTGGACCATAATCTATAGAGACATGAGTGATATGGCATCATACATACGTAGTATACAGTAAAGGTGTTAGCTTTAAAATTATTCCTTTTTTTTTTTTACATCAATTCCAAAAAGTCCAGAAACAACTGGCCGACATGTAAATTAAAATGAACCTTTTGGGAAAGCCTATTACTTTGGTGGGGCATGTCCAAAGCTGTTGTAAGAGCAAAAGAATCCTCTCTTGAAGACAGAGAAGATTCAAGTTACTTCCCTTCAGGTGATCTCCTTAGTTGTCTCTAAATTGGAGTATTTGGCTTGAGTACAAATACCTTTCTCCTTAGCTACTATTTTGACAGGTGGAGACATACCTGATCTTGACATTGCCTGTGTGTGATTTGCTTAATACAGTAATTCAGTAAGAATATATATGTGGCTGAAACCGGTTTGGCTCAGTGGATGGAGCATCGGCCTGCGGACTGAAGGGTCCCGGGTTCGATTCTGGTCGAGGGCATGTACCTGGGTTGCGGGCACATCCCCAGTGGGAGATGTGCAGGAGGCAGCTGATCGATGTTTCTCTCTCATCGATGTTTCTGACTCTCTGTCTCTCTCCCTTCCTCTCTGTAAAAAATCAATAAAATATATTTTAAAAAAAAGAATATATATGTGTATTCTTTTTAGTTTTCAATTACAGTTAACATTCAATTTTATATTAGTTTCAGGTGTATAGAATAGTGATTAGACATTTATATAACTTATGGTAAGTCTAGTACCCATCTGCCTTAATAACATACATAGTTATTACAATATTATTGACTATATTCCCTCTACTGTACTAGTAAAATTCTATTTTTAGGGCACTTTCAGAATTTGATCTGTACTCTTGAGTTTTGATTATTCGGTAATGCAAATTTTGCTAACTTGATTAATAATGAAAAATAGGTATTTTTAATCTTCCTATGAGACTTTTGGATAATGTTCATTTAATTACAGAGCAGACAACAAATATTTAAACTCTTCAGAGTTCTTTGCTGTATTTTGCATTAATCTTTGTTTCCCCAACTCCTGGGCACATGCTAAACAAGAAAATAATTACTTGTTGAGTAAAGAAGTACCTAGAAACTGTATTTTCTTCTGGGTGTACTGCATGAACCTGCAAGTCTCAAAGCCCAAATAATCCAGCTTTCAGCCAAGGCATTTGGGATTTCCAACAGGTCTATTAAAGACATTTACTGTTACCCCGCACGAAACGCCTAGCGGTGTGTAAAAAACACACCCCGGCCTCCCACATAGCAAACTCGGACACCTTGTAAAGATGATTCACAGCATTTATATAGTCTACTTAGTACAAGGACTAAAAGTCATTAAAATGAAATGAACCCTGGGCTGATCTAACACTTCCCAACTCCCAGTAGGTTTCAGGATTTCAAAACAAGCAAGCAAAGCAAAACCACCCCTGTTCCTTAAAACACACAAGTTACCTCCTTCTTTAGACGAAAACTTTTCAGGAGAAAAGCAGGCACGGAAAACTCTTACTTTGGAAAACCCATCCTAAACGAAAAAAGAACTAATCGCCAGTGGCCTCGGCCCGCCCGCCGGAGGGGGGC